CTAACCCCAACTCGGAATTTCAAACTAAATGTGAGTTTTTAAAAAAACCGTGAAAATCATACCCAGAATCTATGTGCATATTAAAAGTACTATAATTATATGAAAGAATAACATTTATCTGATTAAAAATAAATAACATTTGACTAAACCAGACGAAAACTCGTGATGAATTACTTTTTTACTTTTTGGTCTCAAAATAAATAAAACGCCCGTGAGCCTCACTCATTTGTCCAGCGGCCACTAGCGATCGCGGGATGTTTATTTCTCCCAAAACTCTAACTTTCCGCCATATAATGCCTAAACGGACGGTGAATAGTTTTCGAGATATTTCGATTGCTCAACTTGCCCCTATGCTCAACTAGCCCCGCCCTACCCTACTAAATATTACGGCCCTACTACAAGTCAAATAATTTTTAAAAATTAATCAAAGTTGATTAAATGAGTAGCGCTTTTTTGATGTGAGTCAATATTGTCACAACTTGCATTGTTTAGTTTTTCGAAACAAACGGCCGAGCCTCTTCTTTAGAATCAACAAAAAAGTGCAAAATACTTCGTTCCCGTTTTTGTAAAGAATTTTGAACCGATTTTGAAAATTCAATAACTGTTTTTATATGTTATGTCCTTTTTTTTGCAATTGATTGTTAAAAAATTTTTGAGTAAAACTTTCAGTCGGGAGAAGGGATTGGGCTTGGTTATTTCAGGATTTAATTTACTTACTTTTCATTATCGGGCCTTTGAAAATATCTGACACTTCCATATAATATGATGAGAATAACTGGTAAAGCCCAACCAATGAATAGAAAACATCTAATTGTTACTTTTTCTTTAAGGAATACCTGCAGACAAAAAAAGTTATTATTCATAAAATATTGATTAAATTTCTTATAAACTGTATTATATTTTGTTAGGATACGTTTTTGAAATAGAAAGATTTTGATACCAATTTTTTGTTTAGCTTTACAATATACATCTGTACATCATATTGATATACTTTATACTTAAAAATTGATTGTAATGGATGTAAAGGTCCCAGATTTTAGGAATGATACGTGTATTTAAAGATTAAAAATATAATCAAAGAATTTTAAAAAAATTGTTAATGTCATGCTTACTTAATCGCGCAACTTAGAACTGCAACATTCCAAATCTTGTTTGCTTTTTTCAAAAATTTAACATCTAAATATAAAATCGTAAGAATCGTACAAAATGAGAACATATTTAAAAAAAAAATACTTCATAATTTTGGTCGATTAATATGGTTTTAAAAATTTATCTTACCACAACTAAAACTAAGTAAAGATGAGCTCCTTCGCAAAACATCCATAAATGGGCTGATACCGTCGTTAAATTAATTCCTAAGTGTAACCAGATGCACCATGCCGGATTTCCTCTGATGACTAATGGATCAGGAACCACCAACAAGTACCACAATATCCATAGTAAATTTGATAATAATATCGAAAGAAATAGATGTACGTGAATCCATATGCGAGTACAATGTAGTAACCTATAAAGTACATAAATTTTTCTCAGGACATGTAATTAGGGATTTATATTATATATACAATAGTCATTTTAGTAGTCGACTAATTTAGTAATTTACATCACACGTTTAGTCAATATATGTTTGTGACATAATTGTGCAGTTTTATTTGAGTTTATGAAAAAATTTAATTTTACTTCTTAATTCTAATTTTACTTCTATCACAGTCATTTTAATCATTTCAATAGCCCAATATTGTTTATATAGCTCAAAAACTGATTCGATATTTTCGTGAATGTTTCGATCAAGAAAATTTTTGAGCTATTATAAAAGCATGAAAATATGCGATCTATCTGATGCAATATTTTAAAAAATTATTCTTAGATATTAGTGACAAAAAGAATATCACCGATAAAACTAAATAGATGGATCCTATCGACTAAATCTTTCTCGACGTACACAAGAAGTACACAGTTTTTTTAATGTTTTACAGGAGGAGCAAATTCAGCAAAGAAATGTAAAAATTTAATATTAATTAAAAAAATTGATAATAAAATCTGAAGATAAAACTGTATTTGAGAGAGAATTGAACATTTTTCCAAAGTTTTTGAAATATCACTCGATTTCTAAGCATAAAACATATTAAAAAATGAATGAAGTATTTTGATCTTTAATTCAAAAATTATTGAATTAACAAAATGCGCAGTAATATTAGGTTGTCAAATATCTCCCTTCCGCCTTTTTGCTCTTGGTTTATAATACAAAAAGGCGGAAGGGAGATATTTGACAACCAAGATCAAAACCATGAATATCATAATGTGCTAATTCAATTTAAACGATATCAGTTTCAGATTAAGCTGGCACTTATTAATATGTCACATTCATATGTGGCATGCGTTGCAGTGAGTAAATCATCAAATTAATTTTTAATGTTAGCTGATTTTTTGTCAAACCTCCGCGTGCCACCACCTAAAAGCATCACGTGATTAATAGACGCCCCTTACAAGTTACATAGGTTCAAGTGACGCTATCTTTAAGTTTTTCAAAACACAAAACTATGAATTCAGACGGCAAACCACGTCTCATTTTTTTCATGTGTTGATTTATCATTGCTTTTTGATGGGTGAAAATACCATCACAGCGAATGTATTGCTTGATATGTGTTATATGAACTTTGCCAAATCGAGGCAAACGGTGAAGAAGTGGTTTGCTATTTAAGTTGATATCATACAGACACTGACGATGATGAATGCTCTAGAAGACCAATTGTGGTGGTTACAACAGAAAATATAAAAAAATCTCAGGATCGTTTTGGTAAACCGAAAAGTATAATTGTCTAAGATAGCTGACACCCTAAAGATATCAATAGAACGTGTTGCAAAATGATAGCTGCACTCCGGAGTCGAATAGACAGTCAGCCGAGTGGACTAGACGATAAGAAAAAAAAAAGCAACTTTTTCAACTATCTTGAGAAAGTTTAGACCACCAACAGTGACTACTGTATAATGATATTGAAGCCTTTCAAGATCAAAATCGGAAAAACAGCCGCATTTGAAAAAGAAAACTCCTGCTTTTTCAGGACAATGCACCAAGTCACAAATCCGCGAAAACAGTGGCAAAAAAATCATGAATTGGGCTTCGAATTGCTTTCCCGCCTACTATATTTTCTAGATCTGTTTTCCAGCGACCATAACTTGCTCTCAGATCTCAAAAAGATACTGACTGTGAAGAAATGTTTGCCGAATGAAAAGATGATGGCCAAATTTTGTGGCAAAGTACAAATCGTACTACATAAATGGTTTGGAAAAATTCGAAATTCGCTTTAATCTATATTGAATAAAAAGAAGAATTTTGAAAATTGAGCTATTGACTTATTGAGTGAAGTAATATATGTATAATATAACAAGTACTAGAATATACTCACCTATGTGATAAAAATATGCTAAGTGATATCGCTAATGTAACCAGCGATATGCAATATCCAGTGAAGTAGATATTATTGACTATATTACGGAACTGTAATAAAATATTATAATTTATTTCAATATTCACTAATTTTGATCAATATAAAAAATGTAATATATAATTGTTTATACTTTAATAAATAGAAATCATCAAATAATGAAATTTAGAATACAATCAACTAGTGCAAATAATCAAAAATAAAAATACTTTAATAATTATTGTACTACAAATTATTAATTGTAACCTGTATTAATTTATTTAAATCACTATGATGAACTATATAATGAAACATGAAAGTAATTAGTTTAGATTTTTTAGTATATTTGATGAATAAAAAAAATCATTGATAAAAACGTTGATTGATATTTTTAGGCTCTAATATACTAGCATTTACAAGTAAACATGACAATAGCATATATTTGATGCAATAATATCACATGTTAATATATCATAATAAAATAGTAGATTGCATAATAGTAGGGGGAAGTCCCGTAATGTCGGACGGCACCTAACGCCGGACAATCTATTAAACACGTATAATTTAAGCGAGTGTAATATTATTATTTCAATATACAAGTGAAAGGGGCGCGGGGGACACGCAGGTACAGGATCACGCGCCAATACTCTCCTGTGACCCACATGACCACGGCGGGAGCAACCCTTTGTTGTTTTAGGCGCAAAATCACGGCGTCACCTAAATATCAATTGAAGTTATTCTAATGCATTTATGCAATTATATTTGAGTGGCATTCAAAGATTAAATTAGTACTTGATTGCTACCCGTAAAATGGTAAAATATTATTAGATATTTTAAACAATTTTAGTAGGTACCACCAAATGAACGAGAATGCCTGTCCCGTCCCTTAGCATTGGACACTAAGTCCGCAGTAAACATATTGATATTGCTTGCGAGAATTGACGTAATTTTAATTATTTAATTTTGTTCTGTATGAGTGCTAACGGTCACTACATACCCACATTTTTCGTATTTCCTAGTCAAAGAATGAAAACCTCATGATGAATGCATCGGTGTGGCCCAGCCAAAAGGGTGGATAATTAGTGATTTTTTTGCAATATTTAAGAATATTTGTCAAACACACATGTGTAGACATTCCAGAGTGTGGAGATGGCTACATATGTATTCAATACTGGTTATTTTGAAATGTCCGGTACTAGGTACCACTTAGTAAAATTATATTTTTGGTTACCAAAGTTTTATTGAAAGTATTAATTATTTTTAAGCAAATATTGTATTTTTAGTTTGGTTTCTAACTTTGTTATCTAACTAAATATTTATTGTAAAATATTTTTTAATTTATTTATAAATAACCTCAGGTGTCCGGCACTCGGGGGCTTCCCTCTAAGTATATACGAGGACCACTAAATCAGAAATAAATTTGTTTAATAAAATTTTGGAATAAATTAAACAAGTTTGCTATTAGAATGAAGAAGATTATTATATCTAAATTAAATTACTTGCGGTGAGTTTTATTTGAAACTCAATCAATAGTTTAATAAATTAAGTTTAAGTGATTTACTATCTTAACCTTACCCTTAAGTCTTCCATATCGACGCAATTTGAATAATTTGACCATTCCAATCCCGTGTCCGGATGAGTAAACCATGTTCCATTTTCTAAGCAACTGAAATAACATCGACAGAAAATCTTGTAGATAAAAATAAATAATTTTTAGATCATTATGCCATTTTACAACTAATATATTTTAGATGATATATATTAGGGCAGAAACAAGTCATAAACCTATTTATGATGGAGTTTTTATGTAATCAGTAGAAGAGTGCATTAGAAAGATATTCCAATTAATTATTTATTGATACGGTATAGTTATTGGTTAGAATGATATTTTTGTGTTCTAAATAATACTATTCAAACATCTCATACTAGATTCGACCATTCAATTTTCGCCGTAATCATCTAACAGAACTTATCTAACAGTTAAAGTATATCTAGCCATACAACGATTTTCTAAAAAAATAAATAATTCCGACATAGTTGGCATTTTCTTTTGTTATCAAAATGTATTGAGTTCTATTTTAGTTTCTGAATCTAATTTATTCAATAGCAAAAACGTCATTGAAAAATCACGGTTTTCACCTTCTAAGCCGAACTCTTTAAGAGAATTTATATTCTGTTGCAAAATTAGATTTTAAGACCTAGTTAGGTAGTACTTTTCGGCCTTTGTTAAGACCTAGTTAGTTAGTTGTTAAGATCTAGTTAGTTAGTACTCTTCGAAGAAGATAGAAATTATAAAATATTTTGGCGAAAAATTGAAAAAGATTGAGATATAGTAGAGGGGCAGTTATAAGGTGATTGTGGTGAGAAACGACAGGGATAAGGGGACGAATAGTGTAATAGAAATTGTAGTTAAAGTAGTAGTTGAGATAAAGTGAATTATTGATATCAAAACGTTAAAATTCATTTTTGTTACTGCTTGAAGTAGTTAAATTTACGAAAGTTTTTAGTTTAGTTAAAATGATCAATTAAAATAAACAAAACTCCAACTTGCTCGCCAAGCTAATCCTGCAACCTGCATCCAACTTTTTTATAATACGCGAATTTATTGACTATAATCGCTGACTCTAAACCTTCAAGCATATTCGATGAATGTTTTTTACAATTATTAGGCGTATAATATTAGTGTTCATTCTTTCAAGATATGATTTAAATTTTGTCGTATTTTTTGTAAATTTATGCTTGAAAAATTGTCTTTTGTGCTAGTAATTGCTTTTAGAACCTAATATAATTTACTTATTATGAAATATTTTTGATAGAAAAGCACAAACCATTACAAAATGTTATGTATAATAGGAGTTAGCCAATGCGAGCAAAGTAATGAAAAGAATATAAATTTATAATTTACTAATTAGTTAATAGTTATAATTTCGTATCATTCAATTTGGTGCCTAGTATAAACACACATAGAAGAAAGACGTTTTTGTAAAATAATAGGAAATAAAAACGAACAAAAAAATATAACAATAATATTATTTCAAACATAATTTTTGTGGAAGTTTCAATAAATTAAGTACCAATAAATAAATGAGTACCAATTATATTTATATGTTGAATCTATTGGAACATGCAACATACAATAATAATAAAATAAACGTACTCTTTATGAGCCCTTCTCAGTGGATCGAAACCTAAAACGGTGTCTGGACAATTTTGAAAACTTCGCGTTCCTGGTGCGCTTCTTAACCAGCATAAATATCCGTCGAAAGTGGTAGGGCAGAACGTATCTGGAAATGAAATGAAAATCAGTAAATTTTGTTATTCTATATTGCTAATTATTTTTTTTGTCTTTCATATTTGATGTTTGATTTATTTTACTTTTCCACATAACTATAGAAACTATATAATGATTATATAAACGATGAAACCGTAAAAAGTGCATTAAAAGTAAATCTATTCAATAAGAAAATATAATTGATATATATGGAGTATATTTTTTAAAACATATACTCTGAGCAACATACGTCAATTAATTTCAATTGAATCAAATTATTTCAAATGGAAAAAATTGTTCCAGCTAAAGTTAAGTTAAATTACTAGGTATAATTATGATTTGATAATTTAATTGAATTTACAAGTAATTCGCGGAACGATAGACTTTCGATCGATTATATTAATAAAAATAGTATAAGAGAATACTTATTTAAAATCCAATACTTGATTGAGAAGCATTCAATGCTCGATCCATCTCCAAACATTTTAGTACTTTGCGTTTCAAATCTTGAATTAACTGTGAATTTGCCAGATGGCTTCCATTAACATATTCTGAAAAAATATTAATACAGATCATTTACTGTAAATATTTTTAATAAAGTTGTATGATTTGCTTACATTAAATTGATTTTTTTACTAATATAAGACTCAATTAGACACAAGCCTTTTTAAATAAGAAAATATATTTTAAGATTTTTGAGAATATTGAAATGAATGAACATTTTATTTGCATTGATGAAGAACTGATTATGTTTTTAGGAAGACAGATCTAGCGGACTCGCAGATGCAATAAAAAAAATTTAAAAGCTGCCATTTGGCGGTCAAAAATGATCATTATACATAAGCACATCAAATTATCAGATGTTTTATAGAAATTTTAATTACAAATTTTGTTTATATTTCTATGGGTTCACAGACCTTATACTACATGGACTGCTAATCCTCATATGTTTTCAATTGCACAAAGTGTACAAAGATAAAAGGGACTGTGACGTCACTTGCTGAACGAGCGTTGCGACAATCGTAAAACTCTAAAATTAAATCCTGTTCTTAAAATTGTTAAATTATTTTCAAAGAGAAAAATCAGTCCATGTAGTGATTCCTGAAACACTTTAAGGTCTATGGTTTCATGCCAATGTTTATCCCTTAGATTTTGACACGGCGCTTACGCGCTTCGATATTTCATCTCTAAAACAACTACGCAGCGCGATTGCTTTAAAAAAATTAAAACTTTACTTAAAAAAAATCAGATTTTTCAGTATTTTTTTTGAAAATTCTCAAAATTCTCAAAATTGTATTTCTTTGAAAAAGTTCTTAATTTTTTAAGTTCGTTAAGTTCTTTAAGTTTTTTTAAATATTTGATTTTTCCAGTACGGAAAGTTCCAGCAATTTGCCTTAAAGCACAATACCATGCACCACTCGTATACAGATAGATTACTTTGTTTGTTATTTTAAATGTTAGTAGTTAAATACCCAACAATTAGTAATCGCGTAGATAATTAAGCTCGGTCATAAAGATGGTTTGTCTTTAAAAGTCTGCGTTGAGTACGGTTATGGCAAATTTTGTGGATACGGTTTTGATAACTTTTTATGTTTTTTTAGAACACATGTAACCCTAAATTTTCAACCTCCTACCACAAACCTCTATTTTGTAGGAATTATTCATTAATTGATTGTAAGTACATCATTTTTATAAACCATGAATCTAATCGCCATGAAAATTTAGAAAAATTCTAGGCATATACTCTGATTCTCAAACATTTTGATTAAAACCAAGTGGTAAGGGTTAGCCACCTCGATTTTTAAGAACAAGATATAAACAAGCACAAAACTAAATTTTAAACCTCTTATCACAAATCTCTATTTCGTCAGAATTATTATAGTAAATATATCACTTATCATCTCGATTTCTGTCAGTGTAAGGTTTTTTTTAAATATTGATTGAGATTTTTCAAAGTTAATGAAAGAGCATAAATTTTTATTAAGGGTTTTTGATTTCTTTGAACAATTTTCTTAATTTTTTGAAAACATCTTTTTGTAGTTTTTTTAATGATTATATTATATATACACTGTATATATAAGATAATTAACTGTATATATGTAGATACTGTACAAATAAAAAGTAAATATAAATATAAATAAGACTAATTGAATTTATGGTAGAGCTAGGCTTAAGAGTCCGCAGGTAAGAAGGTCGACGTTTTTTACGTAGTTTTTTTTTGCTTTTTCCAAACACTAATCGTTTTTTACATATTGTCAACAAAAGCAAAATGTTTTTTGAATAAACCAAATCGGGTGCTCTTTTCTTTCAAAAATTTATTGAATGAAAACATGGAATTTTTTATACTCTGCTCCATATCTCTGAAACGGCTGAACCGACTTTTGCAAAAACTAACCAGCACGTCTTCTTGTCAATAGAAATCAAAAGATACAAACACACGCACACACAGATAAATACATCTATTTTTCTGAACTATACCAAAATGCTCACAAACCTCTAAAATGTGAAGATATGCAAAAATGTTCATTTTCGATATTTGGGCGGTTACAATAACTTATGCTACAAGAAGTTAATAAACAGATTTATATTTTAGGCAGAGGTTCAACCTCTTAAATGTTAGGCAATAACTTGGAAATTTTATGATCATTTTTGATAGTTGGTTGTTTGATATGTGATATGTGCTGTGACTTGTGTGACAGTTTAAATGCTGCTGTTATGATTATAAGCTTATATTATATATTGGGATGCTGAATGGCATATTTTACTCAAAGATGCATCTAATACAGCTGAACAATCAATCACAAAAGATACGATTGCTATTTTCCATCTTGATAATTAGATGTAAAAAGATCGCATTTTTGTTTAGATTTCTATTTATATGTATATTGATAAGTTAAAATTTTGACTGATATCAAAGAAGACTGTTATTAAAGCATTACTATTAATTATAAGATACAAAGTAATCGCATAGTTCAGTTTATTCCTTTTTAATTTAGTATAGAATAATATTTTTTGTTATATACATCCCGTATATTGTTGTATATCCCGTAGGGCAAGTTATAGTAATCGCAAAAAAAATCGAAAATGAAAATTTTTATATATCTTTACGTTTCAAAATCTTCTGAACATTTTAACCTTACCTTAGAAAAATGGATGTAGGTGTGTGTGTATGTGTGTGTGCGTATAAGCATGTGTGTGCGGATATAAATTTTCGTCGACGATTTCTTGAACACGGATGAAGCGATTTGAATAATTCAAAAAACATTCGATTCGTATTGATAAAGAGACGATTAGTTTTTGGCTAAGGCAGGTCTAACCATTTCGAAGATACGAGGCAAAAAGTGCCAAAAATGGTAATTCGGTTTTTAAGAGAACGAAGCGTCCGATTTTAATAATTCAAAAAACAGCAGGTCGAAGATCTGGTGAAAAAAGAAAAAAAAATGCCATTTGCCGGTCAAAAATGATCATTAGACATAAGCACATCAAATTATCAGATATTTTACAGAGATTTTAATAATAAGTATAAATTTTGTTTACATTCCTATGGGTTCCGTACCAATGTTTATCCGTTAGACGTCGATGCGGCGCTTACGCGCTTTGTCATTTCGTCTCTATGCAGTTGAAGCAGTACGATTGCTTTAAAAAAAAGTTCAGAATTTCTAAAATATGTCAAAATAAAGAAAACATTTTCAAAAATTTAGTACACATTTCAAAAAAAGTAAATTTTTGTCAAATTTATAGTTTCTCAAAAATCTAACTTGTTCGAAGTAAATTTTTTTTCAACAATGTTAATCTTTTTAAAAAAATAATAATTTTTGGTTCGGGAAGTACCAGCAATTTGCTTAAGGCCATGCGCCCCACTAGTTTATATTATATACTTAATCACTTCTACGAGCGACCAGTATACTTAACGGCCACGGATGGCCCCACAAAGTCAAGTGTCACCATTCACCGTTTTCAGGATTTCTGAACATTTTAGCAAACTTTAGAAAAAATGGATGTGTGTGAGTATGCAGTATGTATGTATGAATGTTTGGTTTCGAATTTTCGTCCACGATTTCGAGAGTACAAATCACCGAATTTAAATGAAGTAAAAAACATTTGATTTCTATTAATAAGGAACCGTGTTGATTAGTTTATGGCAAAGGCAGATTCAGTCGTTTCAAATATACAGGGCAAAAACTTCTATAAATGGCAATTCATAAAGAACAGAGCGTCCAGTTTGAATTGTTCAAAAGATATTTTATTTGTGTTGAATGAATAAAGAATTGACTACATTTTTGGAAAGGCTGGTCCAGTGGTTCCGAAAAATCCCATAAAAAATTAAAAAAAAAATTTATTTCGCGGTCAAAAATGATCATCAGGCATATGTATATTATCAAATATATGCATATCATATAGGCATATGTATATTATAATTATCAGATAATTTATACAGATTTTAATAAGTAAGTTGTTCACATTTCTATGGGTTTCATACCAAGATTTATAATGTTTAACCGATAGACTGCAAAACGGCGCTTATGCGCTTCAATATTTTGTCTCTAAAATGCGCATAAGGTTCACACGCGATTGAAGTAAAACTTATTTGCTACTGTACAAAGTAGCAAATTTAAGTTAAGTAAAAATAAATACATCATATGTATAAATAATAATTTTTGAATAATGTTTATTAGTAATATGGTAATACTCGTGATGCACATATTTATTATTGTCAACCATTATATACATTTATATAATGATAAATTATAAATTATATATTTATAATAGCATTAAAAATATTTATAATATTGAAACATAATAATGTAATTAAAGCCATACTTCAAATTTGTCATTGTTATTATCATTTAGAAATGGACGTTCATTAGAGAAATGAAGTAATTGCTGATTAATAAATTCTATAATATTCGTTCATATAGTGGGTTATGTTAAACAATGCCTAAATAAATATTGTTTTCGCAAATTCACTCATCATGTAATTGTGTTTGAAGAACTTCATGTAATTAAAATTAACATGCATTCACTGACTGCTTGTATTTTTTTTTTACTTTTTTGCTGGCGATATAATCTCATTCTTTGAATAGCTGTAATATCTGTTTTCCTAAAATATATTTTCCATTTTAATAAATTCAAAGATTTATAGAAACTACGAATAATATAGACATAATTTCAAATCAATAAACTTACGTTTTAGTTCACGGTGTAAATGTTTAATTTGTTTTATTATTTTCAAGGAACAGGGTAAAATATTCTTCTGATTCAGGCATTTTTCATTAAATCAAGATTAGTACTACGATGTAACTTTAAAATGTGTATTTATCTATATCGATTTCCTTGTTAATATCGGTACTCCTACAACGTTGACGCTGGTACGCATACAACAGATCTCTATTCACGACGACTAATCACAATCGACCCGTATAGAAATGATATCATCGAGAACGAATGACAAATCATTGGCACTCGACTCTTATCTTATCTTATCTACCGTAACGCACTTCCGTTGCATTTGTACGGATTTACACCCTAGTCGCGACTAAAGAAGTTTTATTTCAAAAAATTTCATATTGTTTCAAAAATTTTAAAAACTCCAAATTTTCAAAACTTTCAAAAATTATTTTTTTCCAAATTATAAAAGAAAGTAAAGCTAGCAAAAATTTTAAATTACGGGCAGTCCCAACAAGTTGTCTTAAGGCACGACTATGGATATTATTTTTAAAGAAATCATACCTTCATCCATTTCATAACATTAATATAATGCAGCAATAACAAGAATTACACTTTTCACTAATTGTAAGATTAAGCTTCAACTTTTTAAAAAATTATGCGTCACTAAACCATAATTAAAATGAACTCTTTAAAGTATCTATTTCCAGCGGTCAGATGGCAATATGAGCGTGCGAACGCATAACCGAAAACATTTCGAATGAATCGAACGAATTAAATGAACAGAAGGCATCATGATTATAGCGCGCAGCCTCGGAGCGCATATTATTAAGTAAATAAGCCGAGAAGGCACCTAATTTATAAATTGAAGTTCAAATACGAGATTATGTTATGTCAATCCTATATGCCCTGACATATGATAATTAATTTGTTAATTGATCCATATGATTAAATTTGCTACGCATTGTATTACCACAATATGGTGCCAAATACTTAGCTAATAACATACGCAAATGGCACGTGTGTTGTTAATCAAATTAATTCGTCCAGTAGTATGAAAATGGTAATCAGAAAAAAATCCATGTAAGTAAGACAATCAAAATATTCACTACGAAACATGTCAAATCAGTCATATTCAAAGGAGAGGTCATCTTTCTGGATCCTCAAAGAAAACTGAAAGAAAGAGCACGCGTATCATTTGTTAAGGTTGTCTTTAGCGATTAAGGCAATATATATATATATATATATATATATATATATATTATATATATATATATATATATAAATATATATATATATATATATATATATGCACAATACAAATTTTAATACATTTATTACAGAATAATTAAATTATAAATAGGGGGAAGTCCCCGAGTGGCGGACACCTAAGTTTTTTATAAATAAATAAAAAATTATTATACGAAATGTTTATTAAATTATGACTTATATTAGATAACAAAGTTAGAATTCAAACCAAATTAACAAAAACGCAACTTTGCTAAAAAATAATCAATACTATCAATCAAACTTTGGTAACAAGAAATATAATTTTTAAAAGTGGCACCTAGTACCGGACATTTTAAAATAACCTGCATTGAACACATATGTAGCCATTTCCACACTCTGGAGTGTACGTGTATGCGCATGTGTGTTTGACGAATATTCTTAAATATTGCAAAAAAAGTCACTATTCATCCACCCTTTTGGCTGGGCCACACCGATGCTCTCAGCTGGTACATTTACCATAAGCTTCTCATTCCTTGTCTAGGAAATACGAAAAATGGGGGTATGTAGTGACCGTTAGCACTCACACAGAACAAAATTAAATAATTAGAATAAATTACGTCAATTCTCACAAAAATATCAATATGTTTACTGCCTGGCGCTAAGGAACAGACATTTTCGTTCATTTGGTGGTACCTACTAAATATAAGGATATCGGCACATAACACATTGTTTGATTTTTTTAGTGCCTCAGTTATGTTAGAAAAGTGAGTAAATGATTGCACTTCTTTCCATTTGACCAAAAATTCGTTTATGACGCCACTAGAAATCAGATGATTAGCTTTAAATCCTCGTTTTTTTAATCATCTTTTAAAATTTTCTGTGCGCAGCGTTTATTGAGCTAGGAAATTTATTAATCAAATATTGAAATAATATTTTTCTATTTGTAATAAACCATTTTAAACTGATTTATGTTTTATCCATGGATTGTTTACTGGGATTATAAGATTTCAAATTTATCAACCTTTGCTAATGTGCAAAGATTTTTGTGAATGCTAAATTGTTAAAATAGTTATTTTGATTAGTGTGCGGAAATGTGTTGATTAATAATAAATTATTTCCAACTGATATTATAAAATATTATTCACAAAAATATATTCAATGTCATGATATAATATTTTGTTTTTCTCCGGATGTCAACTCTGACTTGATCGTCACAATACTCCGCACTTAGTGTTGACAAGCTGACGTCAAACTTGTTTGAAGATGATCGTAAAACAAGTTGCATTTCATTGTGTGACTGCTGACTAGCTAGTCTTATTGCACTGGATAGGTAGTCCAACAAAAGACCGGTGGTTAGAGCTAGTTATTGATTCGAGGTCTGGCCATAATGGATAGGTATGCCTACAGAAGTCCGGTGGTCAGGGTTAGAAAATGTGATAGCCCACAGTAACCAAGCACTGCGCGTACTTGATAAATAGGCCTACGGAAAACCAGTGGGCAGGCGTTAGGCACCACTGTCTATATTTTGTAATTCATCTTTGTGATTCACGTCGTGAAGTTAGTTGTAACTTAATATTTTTAATCTCGTATGCCTCTAATATCCGTTTAGGTCATGAACTCTATCGACATGTTCATTACTTATCACGTTAAAAAGGCGCTGCTAATTTTTACAAACTTAAACGAATTTTCAAAGTTAAAATTTTAAAGGTTTTAGTTATTTACAAAGAATGGGCCGATTCTAAAGATAAGATTTTGTTAAACCAAAAACTAATCAGCACGAGTCCCTACCAATATCTATCGAACGATTTTTGAATTTCTAAAATTGATTCAAGATTACGTGCTAAAACGTCAACGAAAATTTTTTCACTTATCTTCTAATTACACAGAAACGGCTTGGCAGATTATTGTACCAAGGTAGACAATGCGAGTACTTATTCAGTTTCAGTCTTTCTCAAAGTGGGCGATATCGCCCCCTGGTGGGCGATATTGAACTCCAGGGGGGCGATGAAAGGCCTCGCGAAAAATGTTGGTTGTTGTATTGTATTTACTTTACATTTTAAAGTTTACCAGAATTTGTATCCCAACGATTAATTGGTACTTTCAATGTTTGGTCGTGTTTCCATGGTATTTGAATGATTTTGATGCCATTTTATAGCTTTTTACCAAAAATTAATATACCAATTTTCAACTCACTTGGAGTTAAATACTAACATATCCCAAAAGCATTTACCGACTGTGTTGGAAATTTTTGCATTTTTAGGCCAATGAAAAACGGCATTAGGGAGATTAAATTTAAATACTTTTATTAAACACAATTGTAAAAAAAATATTTATTCTTCCGATCAATTAATATTGACAATGCATGCAAAGATAATCATTCTATAATAAACTGTTCCAAATTTCTTTCCATGGCGTAATCTGATAGGAAAGTTTTATTAGCGGCAAGGGTATATGTTCTAATTGTTTAAAAAAGGGTCATTTACAATACAATTGCTTTTGTGGCGATATCAAGCAGGCTGGTTTTGATTTGTAAAAAACAATCGGACATGTCATATATATTTTTGATATCGAAATATTTTTATAGTCAATAATTTTGATATATTATCATAACATTACGACTCCCACACTTTAAAAGATATAGATGTAATACCTGTTCTCAAAAACATAATACTCCATAAAGATAGACTAATTCACCAGGTATAGACAACCCCGCAATGATAGCGGTACATACAAATCTCCCGACGGGGGGGAGTGCACCTTTAACTACAGTAATTTTAATATTTAAAAATTTTTGCATATAAATATCTGTAATATTATAAATTGAAACAGTCTAGAAAAGTAGAGTAATGAGTGCAGAAGCATGTAAATTAGATCAAGATATTTCGCAAAGATAATAGTTGTTTTTATTCCTTTTTTTTTTGGTGACGGGATAATTCTATATTACAGTTCACTAAATTAACTTTTAAAAGTGATTGCACCCAACATTTTTCGCGTAATTTTTAAAAGAAAAGCCATGTCGCAAGCAAAAAAAAGATGCGTCAGTACATTGCAGAATATATTAAATATGGATTCATAGAAAATTCTGTAAACCCATGTATGCCTTTATGCCTTCTGTGTTCAAAAACATTTTCAAATGAAGCAATGAAGCCCTCAAGACTTCAAGATCATTTGAATAGAATGCATCCGGATAAGAAGGATAAAAATGTTGATTACTTTCGAAATCTGGAAAAGATGTATATTGCTCAGCCTAGTGTGTCAAAACTTTTTTCTGTAGCTGCTAAGCAGGACGATGACGGACTTCGAGCGTCATACAATATCTCTCGGTTAATTGCCCAAACAGGTAAACCACACACTATTGGAGAATCATTAATTTTGCCAGCTGTAAAAGAAGTTATAACTACTGTGCTACATAAACCAGCAGCAGATATAATTTGCAAAATTCCTTTGAGTAATAGTTCTGTGCAAAGACGAATTGATGAAATGGCTGAAAATATTGAAGAATTATTATGCAATCATTTGAAGTCTTGTAAATTTTCACTCCAATTGGATGAGTCTACTTTACCAAATAATGAAGCATTGTTGTTGACTTACGTGAGGTTCATTAAAGATGAAGAAGTATGCCAAGAACTTCTATTTGTTAGAAATTTAGAGACAGATACAAAAGGAGAAACCATATTCAAAACATTGGAAAAGTTTTTTGATGAGAAAGATATTCCATTGAAGAATATTATATCAGTTGCTACTGATGGTGCTCCAGCTATGAGGGGTTGTCAAAAAGGATTCATAGCCTACCTAAAAAATAAAATTCCCAATGTTCTTGCTGTGCATTGCGTGATACATCGACAGCATCTAGTTGCCAAAAACTTAAGTGAACGATTGCATCAAGCATTGCAACATGTCATCAGAGCTATTAATAAAATCCGACACAACTCTTTAAATGAGAGATTGTTCAATCAGCTGTGTACCGCTAATGATGAAGAATTCAACAGATTGTTATTTCACACAGAAGTGCGTTGGCTATCAAAAGGAAATTGTCTGACCCGTTTTTACAATCTCTTTGACTGTTGAGTTTTTAGAAAATAAGGACACACAGTTGTGTAAAGAACTGATATCATCAAAAAATGATATAGCATATCTCACAGATCTTTATGCATTACTCAACAATATGAATTTACAACTTCAAGGCGATGGCTTAAATTTAATAAAAACAAAAAATATCATCGCTGCTTTTATAGCAAAACTGTTATTACATAAGAAAAATATTGGCAGACGGGAGTTTCATAATTTTCCAAATTTATCGGTATCGTGCAACGAAGACTTGCTCGTGTACTGCCAACATTTGAAAAATCTTCATGGAAATTTTATTGAAAGATTTCAAGATATTTTGAATTTGGAAATACCAGGCTGGGTATTAGACCCTTTTTCAAATGCAAATGTAGAAGCATCAGCCCAGCTAGAAGAAGAACTTATAGAATTAACAACAAATGAAGAGTTAAAAATCAAATTTAAAGATGGTTACCAACAATTTTGGCTACAGAAGTCAATTCAGCACTTATATCCTGGCTTGTGGTTGGTTGTTCAAAAATTTTTACTAGCATTTCCATCGTCATATTTGTGTGAACGTGGATTTAGCACTGTGACAATGCTACTTACTAAAAACAGAAATCAGTTGCAAATTACCAAACGCGGTGACTTACGACTGTTTTTGAGTGCAATGGAACCTGATATTGACAAACTTGTAAAAAACCATCAAATTCATCCTTCTCATTAGAGTTTGAAAATAAAATTTTATATACTGTTTATATTAATTTGATTATAATATATAAAATATATGATTAATGTCATAAAGTTGCGTTTTATTTGCTTTCACTGGTAAAAATGTCCAATTTAGAATGTAAGGTTGCATCAACTAATATATCACACTATAACTATATTAATAAAAGTAATAAAAGAAACAGTTTTCAGAGATTGTATAAAAAATTTGGTAGGGGGGCGATACAAAAATTTTGATCTTCAAAGGGGGCGATGGAAGGAATAAGTTTAGATCGAATGACTTTTAAATTTTCAAAATTGGTCCAGCTGCTTTTGAGAAAAAGTCTACAAAAGGCACAAAATCGGCGCACATACACGCACATTTACATACATTCTCTAAAATTAGTCTCACACGATTCAGAATGGCCTGAAACTTCGAGACAACATGAAGTTAGCACATTGGATTTTGTTGGAATAAACCTAAAATTCTCCTTCGAAATATTCCATAATAAATTATAGTTTCATAGACAAATTTGCATTAGTGATTTTATTTACAAGATGATAAAAATACAACGACTAGAAATAATTTTACATGCTAACTTAATCTTTATAAAAGAATTTTCAAATATCTGATCTATTTATAGTCAGAAAAAATATTTAACTTAAATAATCATTTTTCATTTTTTAATTAAAATAAATTTTTAATCTTAAGTCGATTAATAAATAATCATATTAGGCATTTTGTTTACATCTAAATACATATATTACAAAAACATTTGAGTATATATATATATATATATATATATATATATATATATATATAAGGTATCAGCACTGTTCGAAAAATACACCCATTTCGGATAATATCGCTAAGATCACAAATACTAAGTACGTTAACATCAAGAGTAATCCAGTCTTTTTACTCATTTGGTATCCACCAATGCTAAGTATAGAGAACAATGACCAGATTGCTAAAAGTAGTCCAATTATAGTGTAAACGACGCCGCTGGAATCGATATAAACTTGTGCTGGATTGCCAATTCCATGTTTGATGGTTTTGATAAACCAAGGCATTCCTAATGACATCAATACGGCCAGTGAATTGGCTCCCAGAGAGTTCGATACGCCCATGCCACCCTTTCCTGAAAATAATGAAGATGCATTTTAGAAAAGTAATTGAATTAAAGACCAATACGATTTATTATTTGGTATTTAGAATACAATTTGGAAAGATGAACTAAGCAATTTTTTACATGCAATTTTTGTTATATTAACGAAGAAATGCTTAATGAAGTGAGATGCATAATATTATTTTTATCTCTTGTCAGGAAAACTAGAATTATATTCTTATTAAAAGATATAAGAAACTAAATACGAATCAAATAAATAAACTAGTGATGGAATCTTGCCTAATCCAAATTGCTGAAACTTTCCGTACCGAAAATTAAAATTTTTAAAAAACTTCTAAAATTTGTTGAGAATATTGAAATTTTTGAAAAAAATTAACTTTTTTGAAAATTTTGATTTTATATTTAGATTTTTTTAATAATTTGAATTTTTAACTTCCCGCAAGGCAAGTTATAGTAATCGAAAAAAATCAATAATGAAAGTTTTCATATATTTTTACGTTTCAAAACCTTCTGAACATTTTGGTATACCTTAGAAAAAATGGATGTATGTGTGTGTGTGTGCGTGTATGTATGTATGTGCGGATACAAATTTTTGTCGACGATTTTGGGAACACGGATCAACCGATTTGAATAATTCAAAAAACATTCGGTTACTATTGATAAGAGGACGTGCTGATTGGTTTTTGACGAAGGCAAGTCTAGCCGTACCGAAGATACGGAGCAATAAATGCCGAAAACGGTAACTCAGTTTTTAAGAAAACGGATCGTCCGATTTGAATAATTCAAAAAACATTTTACTTGTATTGACAAGATAAAAAACTGGTAAAATATTCATGAAGGCAGGTATAGCGGTTTCGGAGATCTAATAAAAAAAGTGAAAAAAAAACCCATTCGGCGGTTAAAAATGATCATTAGACATGTGCACATCAAATTATCAGATATTTCGTAGAGATTTTAACAATAAGTATGTTTTTTTACATTTCTATGGGTTTCGTACCAATGCTTATGCGTTAGACGGCGGCGCGGCACTTGCGCGCTTTGACATTTCGTCTCTATGCAGTTCAAGCAGTACGATTGCTTTGAAAAAAAGTTCAGAATTTCAGAAGAAGATATGTCAAAATGAAGAAAACATGTTTCTTCTCAAAAAAATTTACATTCAAAAAAAAAATTTTTTTTCAAAAAAAAGTAGTTTCTCAAAAATCTATTTTTTTTGAAATAATTTTTTTTCAAAAATGTTAATCGATTTTAAAAAAATAAAAATTTTTGGTACGGAATGTTCCAGCAATTTGCCTTAAGGCACAATGCCTTAATTGCCTTAAGACAGAATTCCACTTACAGCTAGTTCTAAAATTTTTTAACTTTTTCTCAAAGCAATCATGCTGTGTGGCTGTTTTATAGAAGAAATATCAAAGCGCGTAAGCGCATAAATGTATTTAAAATTATTTAAATCGTACGTTCCGTTTTTAAAGTTTCATTTATATTTTTAACTTCCTAAGGGTAGTTATAGTAATGGGCCGAAAATCGAAAATGAAAATTTTTGCATTTCTCAACGTTTTGAAGGTTTCTGAACATTTTGGCATACCTCAGAAAAATGGATGTGTGTGTGTGTTCTGTATGTCTGCATTTTTTCGTCCACGTTTTCGGGCGCACGGATCAACCGATTTGAAGGGTTATAAAACATTCGATTCCTATTGATGGGGAGATGTGCTGATTAGTTTTTGGCAAAGATAGATTCCGTCGTTACGGAGATAAGAAGCAAAAAGTGCAGAAAATACAAATCGAATTTTTGAGTGAACGGAGTACCGATTTGAATGATCGAGAAGTTTCAAAGATACAGAGCTAAATGTGCAAAAAAGGGCAGTTTTTGAGAGAACTATTTGTCCAATTTGAATGATTCAAAGAACTTTCTGCTCATTCTGACAAAATAATTGCTTTTGGAACAAAAATTGTTTCAAATTTTTCTGCAATTTTTTTTTCAAAAAAAATTTTTGTTTGTAAATTGAAAATAATTCAAATTTTAATTTTAATTCTGACTAAAGTTCTAATATACTTCAAACAAATAATTTTAACTTTGCAACTCAGTTTAAATGATTTTTATAAAAATTAGGCAATTATTTATAATAATCTATTTAAAAACATTTAATATTTCTCGAACATTTCGTTACGGTACGGAAAGTTTCAGCAATTTGCCTTAAGCTGCCATACACCACTAGTTATTTTCGATTTTTTGCGATTATTTACTTGTTTATACTTGTCAATATATGTCAACACATAATAAGATAGATATGTGATAGTAGATAGACATGGGCCACAGGTTGGAGTGTGCCACTCGAATAACTCTAAAACAGGCTTATGTTGAACCGCACACATATTTATCATATGTTGATACTTGCTCAATTTTGCACTGTAAAGTGTTTTTATTAATTATTCTCACGTCTCATTTACTATATTTTATCACTTCAGTCATCATGCCTCCTAAAAAAACAATAAATTCCCAAAAAAGTGGTAAATACATTTTTTTGCCATTCAAAAAGAGAAATACTTCGAAACATAATTGCAAGCATCATTGTGAAAAAAATGTATTTCAAATAAGTTTAGTAGCAAATAATAATATAATAAGCATTCACATTATGCCGGTCAAAAGTTTTGCACTCTTTTCAAAATAATTATTTGTACTCATACCTTTTCGTGACATTATCACTATTGATATTGCTTCTGGAAGACATCCTCCGGCAGCTAAAAATGTCATTCCCATTACAGAATCGGGCACACCTAACGTAACTCCTACAAAATAATAAAAAGAAATAACTATTATGATACGAGTAACAAAATAAGTATAAAAATTTATTAAACTTGTATAGTGGTATGCTCTAAATTGTTTTACAAGTAAGTGTCACACAATACCAATCGTAGGTACCAATTGTAACGATTTTATCAACTTCATGTAAGTTAAGTTATGGTAATTCTAAAAAGCTATAATGTAAGTTCATTTACGTTTCAAGGCCTTCTGTAATTATATTAGGATACAATTTATCGTTCAGGATTTCGAAAGAACATATCAACCAATTGATTGATAATACAAAAGATATTCAATTCCTATTGATAGGGAGAGGTGCTAATTTTGGCCCATGCGTTTTAAAGATACGGGGCAAGATGTGCAACAAATAGACATCAATTTTTTTAGCAAATGGAGAATTCGATTATAATGAAAAAACGAAATGAAATGAATAACTGATATTCAAGAAAGCATGCGAGGCCTTATCTTTGCCATGCCAGGAGATGCAGAAAACATATGCAATCAAACATATGATCATTAGACATATGCACATAAAATTATCAGATATTTTACGGAAATTTTAATAATAAGTTTATTACACATAATTGAAAACGAACGAACACGTTATCTCGAAGTACTTTCTAAATGAAAATTTTCAAAAATCAACAATTTTTAAATAAATGTAATGTAAATAAATAAATGTAAATCTTCTAATTTTAATTTTAACAAACGTCAGAAAACTACTCATTTTCTCAAACTTTGAACTTTTAAAATTGAACTACTTGTAGTAAGGCCGTAATATTTCAGTAAGTTTTAATAAGACCATGATATATATCGCCAAAAGTTCCATAAAAATCGGCTTAAATTTTTTTTGCAATAGTTAATTATAAGAAAACGGCTTGGTAGATATTCACCTAAAACTATTCCGTATCATTTTAAAAGTTTAACACTTTTCTTCAAATTATAAAGAAAAGTTCGGCAGATCGTTGCAAAAACTGACAAACGATAGTTTTTGAGAAAACGTCGATCAAAGGTCTAATTTTGACAAATGCTTAAGTACTAATTTTTGCAAACTTTGACGAATTTTTAAAGCTAAACGAGTTGTTGTAGGGCCGTAATATTATAGTATGATCTAGAAGACTGTGGTATCTACCGTAAAAAAATCATAAAAATCGTCGAATTTTTTGTAACACTTTATTATAAGAAAAGGCCCGGCCAATATTTACCAAAAACTAATCAGTACGATTGCCAACCAATTTCTTTCAAACAGTTTTTGAATTATCAAAATCGGTTCAGAACTGCGGGCTAAAACGATGACGAAATATTTTTCACTTTTCTGCTATTTGTAAAGAAACGGCTTAACCAATCGTCGCACAAAACTGACAAACAATAGTCCTCATCGAGATACATCGAATGGTTTTTGAATTTTTGAAATCGGTCCAGCCGTTTTTTTAAATAAAAGTTGATTTACGGCAAAAAGTATGTTCACATACATACACACACACGTACGCACACACATATTTTTTCCAAATTTGGTCTCATTCGATTCAGAATTTTAAGTTTAAAACGTCGAGAAAACAAAGTTAGTGAATCGGATTTTTTTATGGAAACAAACTTCTCCTTCGGAAAGTTAATTATTAAAAAGGTAATTTCAAAATTCAAAATGGTATTTATTAAATAAAGTAGCTAATATTAAACGATTTCTATAAAATTAAAAATAAAATATTTAAACCTATTTTTCTCTGAATAAAGGAATGAATATTGTTTCCACAATAATTATAATTATCCGAAAATTTTGCTGAATATAATTGAATAGTTGTTTGTTTGATGCGGTTCATTTATTGTTGTGTAGTTGGCTTGGTTTTTACAGTATAATTACATAAAGTCAAATTTTACCTTTGTGCTCTGTTCTGTCAGAAAATTAAATCAGGAAGAAAACTATATTTAGAAAATTATTAGTAGGAATAGTAGTAATAGTGACATCGTAGTAGACAAGAGATCCAAACAAAACGAATGATATATGAAATGTCTTAGATTTTATTTTTGTAAACAATTATTTTATAATACAATTTTTGGTAAATATGGAAATATTGATTACAAATAGTCGTATTTCCACAGTATAGTCGAAATGTACCTACATATAAGGTGACCATACGTTCCGGTTTGGCCAGGACAAACTGGATTTCCACCTTGTGTCCCGGGTTTTTCTAAAAGCAATATTTGTCCTGGGTTTAGATTTTTTGTTCCGAGTTTAATTAAGAGTTAAATTAATAAACATTATGAAACAAACGAACAAATGCTATTTTTTTCTATTAATTAGGAAAAAAATTGAATAGAACATATAGATCGTAATATATAAGATATATTATAATAACATAGATAAAAACGTATTACAAAAGTTTGCAATTCTGATTTAAAAAAAATTGATTCATATAGAAAAATTCACATAAAGAGATTGATTCATATCCCGGTTATGACTTCAAAAATGTGGTCACCTTACTACATAGATCACAAGTATATTTTAATACCGTTTGGAAAGTTTATTTTTTTCACCGATACAAAAAATAGTAATTCGGCTGAAATTGCAAAGTGGTAAGTAAGTACAAATCACAATTAAGTTCTATGTAGAAAAATTAGCAATTTGATTTTTTCAGTGAAAATATAATCTTCACTTCTGGGGAGTTAAAAATTGTGCTAGTCAATTTCACACTAATCGATCACTTATATTTTATCAATCTTGAAAATCAAATTTCTGCGCGGTATATGTCAATTATAAAACTTGCAGATAAATAAAGTAACGCAATATTAATATCGCAAAATCCAACAAAAACGTCAATGAACCAGAGATAATCATGTCCATGTTCAAAATTTAATTAAAAACTTCTAAAAGATCAGATTTTATAAAGATAAACACGCTTGATTTACCAAATTTTCTATCTAATCTCCTTCGAATCATCTCAAGCTCGCAAACTGTAAAAGTACAAATTGAAAATATTTCAATGTGCTTGAATTTCGTGCGTAATCGTATGACAAAACAAAATTTTATGTTCATGTATATCGTAACAAATGGTTAGATAATTGATTTACAAATTAAATTCATATTGGTAGATAATAAACGAGATTTTAATTAGATGGCAGACGTTTTAATTAATAATTAACCTTATTACTTTTAAATAACCTTCATAAAAATACATACATACTGTTAATTAAATACATTATATAACTACAAATTTAAAATACTGTTTTATCTGCATTATAAATAAATATAATGATATAAACTATCTAGCATGTAATAAAAAAGTATAATACCCAAGGGTAGACAACTTTTGTTCCAATCAATTTAATATTCAATAGTATACAATATATGTTTTTGAACTCAAAGAACCAAAAAACATAATATTGAAGTTATTGAAGTCAAAAATATTTTTAAATAAAAGTTCCGAATGCAAATGTATTGTTATTTATTTAATTTAATGTACATCGATTTATTATTAACTTCCCAAAGAAGAAGTTTATGCTCCCATCAAAAAATCCGATTCGCTAATTTTATGTTTTCTCGACGTTTCAAGCCATTCTGAATCGAATGAGACCAAATTTGGAAAAAGTATGAGCGTGCGTGTGATTGTGTTTGTGAACAGATTTTTTGCCGCAAATCGACGTTTTATCCAAAACGGCTTGAACGATTTCAGAAATTTAAAAGCCATTCGATGTATCTCCATGAGGACTCAGTTTTGTGCGACGAATAGCCAAGCCGTTTCCAAAAATTTTTTGTCCACGTTTTAGTTCGCAATTCTAAATCGATTTTGAAAATTTAAAAACCGTTCAAAAGATATTGGTTGGGAATCGTGCTTCATTAGTTTTGGTAAAGATCGGCCGGGCCGTTTTTCTTGTAATAAAGTGTTAAAAAATTTTTTTTCGACGAGTTTTATGATTTTTTCGATGGTAGGTACCATAGTCTTATAGATCACACTAATTTTAAAAATCCGTCAAAGTTGCAAAAATTAGTATCGTTTTGTGGCGTTTGTCAAAATTTGAGCTTTCATTGACGTTTGCTCAAAAACAGCTGGGCCGATTTCAAAAAATTAATTTAATTTATCAATGTATTCTGATGTGGATTTTATTTTCTCAGTTTTATGCAGATACTTTACAATAAGAATTAAAATATTGATTTATGGAATTAATAGTGATATTATTATCCTTACGAAGGAGAAATTTATTCTTTTGTCACAGAATGCGATTTACTAATTTTGTTGTCTTGTCATCTTAAGGTATTCTCTATGGTTTGACATCAACTTGAAAAATGTATGTATGTATAAATGCATGAGAATCAATAAGGTCAACAGATGTTTCATTTTCTATCCATTCTTATTTTTCAAATTTTTACATAATTGTGGATTAAACATCTTTAAAACTGAAAACTTAGGTAAAAAATTAAAAATAATGATTGATAGCAAACAAATTTTTAAGAACTTCTTGTTTAGAATATATAGTAAAACGTGTTCGGCTAAATTTATTCGTACAATAATGAGATCAAATGTTATTACTGTCAAAGCCTGATAATTGTGGATTCTATAACTAAATATTAGCCTAGTTTAATATGTAAATGTTGATTTCAACTATAATGTTTTATTATTATATTTATCAACTTTCCGTAGAGTAAGTTGAAGTAGTCGCAAAAAATTGAAAATGAAAATTTTTATGCATCTTTACCTATCAAAGGTTTCTGAATATTTTGGCATACCTTAAAAAATTGGATGTATGTGTGTGTATGTATGTGTATATACAATTTTTTTTCTACAATTTTGAGAACACTGATCAATCCGAATGATTTAAAAAGAATGCGATTCCTACTTCTGATCTGTTTGTTGCAAAGGCAAGTCCAGCCGTTTCGAAGGTATGGGCCAATAATGGTAAAGCAGTTTTTGAGAGAAGGAAGCGTTTGATTTGACACATGTTACTTGTATTAACAGAATGAAGAATTGCTGAAGTTTTTGTTGCGCTATTGAGCAAAATAAGTGATCATGTATCATTATTTCATAAATTTTGTTACAAGAAAAAACATTTGCTGAGCCAGAGAAGTATGTGAAATTTTGCAAGACTTGTTAAAAAAGAGTTAAAATACTATCGTATTGATTGGCTGATGTTTTTTTGAATGATAAGAAAAAAGGGTACTTTCTCAAATTCTATTCGCTAAAATAGGTCTAAGTACACTATTGTTGAACAAAATAAACTGGGAAATTAACAAAAGTGCATAATGAATTATAAAAGGCAACAGTCGGTTTCATACTTCGCTTTCATCTTATGATAAAGATCAATTAAAATTGCAGTAAAACAAACGCCATCATCAATATTAATGTCTAAATTCATATATTATACGAATTCAATACTTTATCAAACATTATAATCTTTTTTTATCAAGTTTATTCTTACCAATCACAGCAACCATCCAAAAAACAAGATATGCATTTACACCTATCCAAACGATGCACATGATAAACGTTATTGGGTAAAGCTTTCTCCACGTCTTGGGGCTTGGCACAGTGATAGTCAAAAACATTTTAATAGGCCAAGTGTAGCACCACCATATTTTCTTCAGATTATTGCCAGTCGGGATCTTCCATAAAGTTTTGCGTATTTTAATTCCATCTATAAAAATATTTTGAGTTATTAATTGCACTGTTTTTTCTCAGGGTCCATCCAGAGATAATACTAGCATATTTCATACAAGTGAACCTCCACTTATTAAGAACATTCAAATTAAAAAGGATTATGGTAAATAATTTTGATGGAACATTTTGAGATATACTAGGTATACTTCTTGAAATTTTTTATGAACATGCCAGAAAGAATAGAATCAACATATTTCAAAATCATTTTATGTTAAGTTAACGTAGAAGTTTAGTTAATTATATTTAACTAAAATCTATGCAACTATAATGAATATAAAGAAGACAAATTGAATTGTGTGTAAATAAAATACTATTACACACAAGTATTACTTACAAGGATTTCTTAAATACAACATACAAAACTACTATACAGAATTTACAAAAATAATACAATGTTGATTTTAATGCTAATAATTGATTTTAATATTTAATATGATTATTCACCTTTAGATCAATGCGTAAAGTTAGATAGAAAAATGATCAAGGAGACAGTTTTTGTCAAAGAATAAACGGGAATTTTTTTTGCAAGAGGTATAAAATACGCTCAAAATATGAAAATTAAATTTGTTAAAACTATCAGGTTGACAACTGAGTTAGTACGGATTTTTGGTAGATAATCTATATAATTAAAAATGGATGTATGTCTGTCTCTTTGTGAGTGTAATTATTATGCATTCATAAACCATACTTCCGATCGTCGTGAAAATTCAGGAAAATGTTTTCGGATATTTAGATAAAACCAAGTGGTAGGGGTTGACTGTCCTGAAGACTTATTTAACTTTATTTTTTATTTTTTCACATATAACCCAAACTATTCAACCTTCTACCACAAACCCCTATTTTGTAAGAACTTTTCGCCCCCCCCGATAACTTTTTATCTAAATATTTTTTCGATCAATTTTTATTTTTTTATATTTTTATAATGCGTATATAAAAAACACATAAGCCTGAATTTTTAACCTCCTACCACAAACCTCTATTTTGTAAGAATTTTTATATTATTTATATCTTTTTTATTAACTTCGCGTAGGGTAAGTTATAGTAATCGCAAAAAAATTGAAAATGAAAATTTTTATATATCTTTACGTTTCAGAGGTTTCTGAATATTTTGGCATACCTTAGAAAAAATGGATGTATGTGTGTATGTGTGTGTGTGTGCGTAGTATGCATGTGTGTGCGGATACAAATTTTCGTCGAAGATTTCGGGAACACGGATGAAGCAATTTGAATAATTTAAAAAGCATTCGATCCGTATTGATAAGGAGACGTGCTGATTAATTTTTGGCGGTGGTAGGTCTAGAGGTTCCGAAGATATGGGGCAAAAAGTGCCAAAAACGGTACCTCAGTTTTTAATAGAACGGAGCGTCCGAATTCAATAATTCAAAAAACATTTTACTTGTATTGACAAGATGAAGATTTGATCAAATTTTTATAAGGGCAGGTTTAGCGGTTTTGGGGATCTAACAAAAAAAGTAAAAAAAATGCCAAATTGGCGGTCAAAAATGATCATTAGACATATGCACATCAAATTATAAGATATTTTATAGAGATTTTAACAATAAGTATAAATTTTGTTAACATTCCTATGGGTTCCGTACCAATGTTCACCCGTTAGACAGCGACGCGGCGCTTACGCGCTTTATATTTTGTCTCTATGCATTTAAAGCAGTACGATTGCTTTGAAAAAAAGTTCAGATCTTCCAACATATGTCAAAATGAAGAAAACATTTTTTTTCAAAAAAAAAAAGATTTAAAAAAAAATTTAAATAATTTTTTTTCAATTTTTTTTTCAAAAAAAAGTAATTTTTGTCAAATTTATAGTTT